ACTATACTATTTAGGAGATTAATATTATAGTTCTAGTAATATTAAGATTTTATTCTTTTTAATATTTAACTTTTTATTTTTATTAGTATTTCCTATCTTATTAGGAAGAAAATTCCTATTTTTATTAGTTTTAGCATTCCCTAGGCCAATCCTGTTTGAGAAAATATTTACTTTCGAAACCATAATTCAGTTGCTCAATAAAATATTTTGTGGATTTCTTAATAAAATTAAGCTGTTGAATGTGATGCTTGAAAGATGCAATGTCTTGGAAATCCTAGGTGTGATATCCAGGTTTTTCCTCCCAAATTTCTAGGTAGCGAAACTAACCCTAATTTTTTGTACATCAATTTGGCACTGGAGTTAAAAGAATATGACACCCTAAAATCTCAAAATCTTAAACTCAAACAGTCTCGATCCCTTTTGAAAAAAAAATGGGATATACCAGAATCTGAAAACCACCCCTTATCATCAACTGCCAACACTGCCCCTACCACCGGTCTTCTAAGACCCATATTGGCAGGGAGACAAAGGTCTGCGTCAGAACTCTGCTGGAAAGTGTGCCACTTGCAGCCCCACTTTTGCTCATTGTTGCTTCTTTCATTCTTCAACTTTCTCGCAGCTATATCTCACACTGCTATCCGATTTCCGCCACCATCTCAAGCCAAGTCACCTTCCAGAATCCTGACGCCTTCTGGTGACTTGAAATTGCACGAGAGCCCAACATGCACGTGATCCGTAAGTAGTAGTTATAAATTTGTGCTGCAATTGACTTTTTTAACTAATTTTAATGAAATCTGATCATCCAGACTGGTTTAGCCTCTTCCAGTCTTGTTTTAGCAAAGAGGTTCATAACAATTCCCCTTAATTGTTGTTAGCTCTTCTTATTTTTGCAGTCTTCACAAAAGTTGCATTCTAGCTTTATAAAAAATTTCAAACTCGTGGAATTGTAAGGAAGAGAATGAATCATCATTTTTGGAGGATAGAATAGACAAATCTTTCTTACCTATAGCCAAGGGCAACTATTAATTAAAGTAAAGGAAGATTGGAAGAATTCTCCATTTTTTCAAACCCTAGCAGTTGTGAAAATAAAACCAAGAAATTTTTTTTTTTGAATTTAGTTTTTTAATAGGAAAAGGCCTCCACCTTATCATTCTTAAGGATTGTTACGAGGATCTTGTTTCAATTTCTACAGTTGAATGATTCAGTCTTTCAAAGCAGCCGTATTTGCAGTCATAGAGATTAGTTTGGAAGGATAAGACAAGTATTTGGTAACTTAACAAAGTGTTACTTCTATTTGTCATAGTACGTCATTTAATCTTGTGTGATTTAGTCCGTATAATGGTCGCTTATCTCAAAAAAGAAAAGTCTGTCTAAGGGTCATATATATCCTTCTTGGTCAACCTTTGTTTTATGATTGACATATTCAAACTTATGAGACTGTCGATACTTACCATTTTATCTTTTACATAAAGAATCTAGTCAGTGGAAAATATGGGAGGAGCCCATTAAAGTTGAGAAAGAAGAATCATCCTTTTTTTTCCCTAAGAGTGGAGATGTTCTTAGCTGCTCAGGACCTTTCACTTCCTAAATTGAGTTCTATGGAAGTTTAATGCAAAGAGGAAACTGAGCCAGTGATTGGGTCTAGTAATGTTCAACTAAAGGATGAAGTTGAAGAGCAAATTGGTCAATATGTTGATATCATTCTACCATCACAATTTTATACTCCTAATCAATTACATGCTTTCCTTATGTTTGCTATCGAAGAGAGTAACTGAGCACAAAGTTCATTAAATTTTGACTGGGAAGCTTGAAAATCAAGGTTTTGCAATATTCTGCACTTTGAAACTCTGTTGTTGCCACTTGAAAATCAATTAGAATCATAATTCTGTTTAAATATAAAACTACTATACTGTCTAAGAGTCTATTACTATAATTTGAGATTTTATTTTTGTAGTATTTAGTTTAACTATTTGTATTAGCATTTCCTATCTTATCAGGAGTAGTATTCCTAATCTTATTAGTTTAAGTATTTCCTACTCTAGTGTTCACACTTTTTATTTCAAAAAAACTATTTCCTACTGTAGTCCTATTTGAAAAAGACTGATGTCACTCAGCAAATACCTCCCTAATTTCCTTGATATCATCATTCAATTATTGAATAAAATACTTTTGAGAATTTCTCAACTTCTTGGTTGTGGGATACAATTAAGCCCTTAAATGGCCCCTAATTTATCCCCAAATTCCTAAGTAGGCAAATGGCCCCTAATTTATCCTACATTACTTATGTTTCTTTCCTCCCAATTGATCTGGAAGTAGCTTCTTCCTCTTATGCCTTGAGATACCTTGCCAAGCCCAAAACTCATCAAAAACAGAATCAGCTAGCATGCGTTGCACCTTTGAGAAAGTCCAAAACCATATACTCCAAAGAATAGAGGAAAGAGCATCGCAGAAGAAGATGACATGAGGTCTCATATGCAATCTTACTCACAACTAAGAGCCATTCTTTGTTATTTTTCCTTTTGTGATGAAATTTTCTAATTTTTTGTTTTTTAGATTTATATTTATCTCATTTACAATACCATATTATTTAGCTAATAACAAAATGAATGATGGTGAAAATTGATAGTAGAATTAGAAAAGTTTAAGACATTGTTTCTACTGTTCCATAGAAAAACATTTTTTGTTGTGTTTTGATTATTTAACAAACTTGGAAATCTTGCAAACTTTCATGAGTAAAATCATTCATAAGCACTTGAATTTAGAAATGAAAATTAGTAAATATTTTGTATAAAATATTTCCTAGCATCTTTCAACCAATTATAAGCAACATAGACAGTCCTCGGTTCCATTCTGTCAACCAAATTGGCACTATTCCCATGAGAATCAAGACTATGAAAGAACCTTGTACCCTATCCTTTAATCCATAGCACTTCCAATTTCTGCCATCAAGCGAAATCCTCAGAGAGGGGGAAACTAGGGAAGCTCTATATTAATCTTTGCCATCTCCTCTCTCTTCCCACTGGAAAGACGCTTCTCAATCTCCACCTTATATGACTCTTCTAACAAGCAAACAAGAGTTTCCTTCTTTATGTCAGGGACGACAAAATTCTCTTTGCTCCATTGTTTAATATTCCTCTTCACATGAAAGACTTGGCCACCACCAAATCCATCAACTTGTGGCTCTCTTCACCATTATCTAAAAAGATCCCCAAAAGGCCGGACCTTTAACTACTTGTTCTAAGAACTGAAGGGACATGGACTCCATTTACTGCCACCCAATTTCAAGCATAACAGGAAGTGATTAAAAGTTTTTATGGGCTACAGCATCTGTATCAAATCTGGAACTTGCAGATCAAATGGGGAAGAAATAGAAAATCTCCTGATCTGGGCTCATTAGATCAAGCCCGACTCCCTTCAAATAAGGGAAGGTCAACAAGATTGCAGTGATCAAGCAACTTCCTAAACTCTCCGCATGAGCTTTGTTATGTGAACCTTGATCGCTTGTCGCTGTTGTTGGCATGTGGAGCTATGTTGAAGACCCCAAACACCCAAGAGAATCCCATATTCTAGCAACTTTAAGTCACTCCGAAAAAAATGTCTTTTCTCGCTGCTCTCCCTTTCCCCTTAAACCCTTGTAAACAAGAAGCATTAGCCTGATGCTGTAATCCTTAAAGACAAAAAATTGAGGACACACCCTTCTCCACCATTTCCATAATCCAATTGTCCTGCATCGCCGAGATATCCCTCATAAGTTTTCTTAGCCAGTAAGATGCACCGGCCAATGTGCCTAGCTTTTCACAAACCATTTGCTGTTTGTCTATATGCACTATCATGGACTCTCAAAGGCTCACAGCATTCAGTTTCCAAGAAGAAAAGCAGCTTTTGATGATTGCCCTCTTGCTCATGTTATTCATGTTTCTCACGTTCGATGAGATTAACAAACAGTCTGAATACAGTGCGCCTCTATCTCCTTTACCAGCCTTGTAACTAATAGAGCAGCTTTTGATTAGCGAGCTCTTGCTCATTGTAAAGGAGATTTGCTGCCTTACCAGCCTTGAGGTGATTGATCATGGGCGTAGTAGTAATTTACTTAGGTTACTTTCATGTTTCTTAGTATATATATGTTTTGTTTTTCTAATCTTATTAGGATAAGTTTCCTATTTCGTTAAGGATGAGTATCACCCTGTAAATTCTTTTATAACCTCTTTAAGATTATTATTCAATTATTCAATTATTCAATGACATATTGAGATTTTCTAGATTTCTTTTCTCTTAGGTGTGATATTGAAGAGCTCTAAGGTTTTTCATTCTCAAATCCCTAATTGGACATATAAACTCTATATGCCTTACGTCATGCTGCCCTCTTATAATAGAAGCATTGTTCGAACGACTGCTCTGGTCACAATGCACCGCTCAGTTGATGTTAATGTAGGTAGTTAAAATATGGGCCTGTGTATTGAACGTACATAATTTTCTATTGGCTCCCTACAAGATTTTGTAGGTGCCCAAAAGCAGAGAAGAATAGACTAGGAAGTACAAGATCTGCATTGGAGTTATGTGGATGACGGATGTATTTCTGCTGCTTAGGGTATATTTAAAGCATCTCCAATCATCTTCTTTGTGTATAGTCCCCTAGTTTTGTAGATGTGAGAAAGGAATGAATTATTTGAAGAATAGTTTCATCTTCCACTCTAAAGTCTCTCTTTCTTTTTATTTCTCTCTCAGATCCCTCTGTTTCTCCTCTCTCTCTCGATCGATATATATATATATATATATATCTATCTAAAACCTGAAACACATTCCTCCAGATTGGAGCCATGCACCCCAGATTCTGACTGATTTTTACATTGACTAAAGAGGAGACAAAATAGTGCATTCTAGTGTGTACAGGGAAGGAGTGTGTGTTTGGGTGTTCTGACTAGAACAAAATCCTTATATTCCACTGCTGTTGAGGAAAGGAGAAGCAAATAGCATATTGAACTTTTTTAGTGTGCGTTGGTGGGGAGAGTAGTTGGGGAGTGGGGAAACTTGACTTGTGCTTTCATTTCCTTGACATCAACTCAAATTAGCATGCTCTAAATTGTGCTCTTAAGCCATCCTGGAGTTATCGCAATCCTCTGTAGGAACTAGATGAATTTCGGGTCAGATTCAAACTTCTGACCTTGTGGATAAGTTTACAGGTGGTTGAAAATTCATTAACTGGACAAGCAAATTTCCTTGTCTGAATGACTGTTTTCCCACTCTGCAGTTGGGGGCCGCATTTCTATCAATGTCGGGTCAGATTCAAACTTCTGACCTTGTGAATAAGTTTACAGGTGGTTGAAAATTCATTAACTGGACAAGCAAATTTCCTTGTCTGAATGACTGTTTTCCCACTCTGCAGTTGGGGGCCGCATTTCTATCTGTGATATGAATTTCATGTAACTATTTTCACCTCATTTTTTATAATGCATGTTATAGTGCACGCACCCATATTATTATTCACATGGCTAATACATCGATTTTCTTGTTGGCTATATCACATGCTGAATAGTCTGCTTCTCAAGTCCATAGAGGTGCACTTGCTGCTGGATTTGCTGATGGTTCTGTTAGGCTCTATGATGTTCGAAAGCCTGAAATGTAAGTACTGATGATCCTACGTTCTTTCAAAGGGTTGATTCTTTTTCTTTCCTTTTTTTGGTTTTTTTGTTTGGGATGGGGGGTTGTGCATTTGGGGGAGGGACAGGGGTTTGTGTACTGTTGACACCAGCAGGGAAAAAATTGCATGGTAATCCATTTTATTCTTTGCCCAACTTTTGTTCAACAAAGGCAGCTGAAGAAAATTTAATAAACAAAACAAAGACATCTCCAAAAAATTTTGGGACTTCTATTTTCTCTTCATTTAATTGAGAACCCTTCCACTTGAATAATAACGAATTTGCAGCTGCTGTGTTTTTTCTAGATCTCTTTCTTTTTGTAATCATGTTTCATAATTTTTTTTGTAGTACTTATATATCTCAGTACATGTGTAATCTTTTAGGCTTATTTGCTCGACTCAGCCTCATACTCAGAATGTAAAAAGAGTAATGGGGATTGGCTTTCAACCCGGACTTGATCCTGGAAAGGTAGTTGGCAAAGTGACTCTTTTCCTCACTTTAAGATAATGATCTGTTCTCTCTGCTGGATCAATTTTGATTTTCTCAACCTGTCTTTTTCTGTCAGATTGTTAGTGCTTCTCAAGCTGGTGACATTCAGTTCCTTGATATCAGAAATCTCAGGGATGCTTACCTGACAATAGATGCTCACAGGGGCTCACTTACAGCTTTAGCTATTCATAGGCATGCCCCAATCATTGCTAGTGGTTCAGCGAAACAGTTGATTAAGGTCTTCAGTCTGGAGGGTGAACAGCTAGGAACCATTCGTTACTACCCTAGCTTCATGGCCCAGAAGATTGGTTCTGTGAGCTGTCTTACATTCCATCCCTACCAAATACTACTTGCTGCTGGTGCTGCAGATGCTTGTGTCTCCATATATGCTGATGACAATGCTCAAGTGAGATGAATTTGCAGTGTTTTCTGGTATCTTTTCGTTGAGTCTTTCAAGCAGCAGAAGTACACAGAATTTGATGGGGGAGAAGGGATTTGGATCATCGAATGGGAAACATTCTGCTGCTCCAAACCCCTGTGTTCTCAGTCTTTCTGGATAGAGTTGCCTGCTACATTCTGCTGAAAATTGTATGGTATATATTCATTAGCCTCCAGTGCTGACGACGCACAGGTTAAAAAAAAAAAAAACCTGCATTGGGTAAAAGGGGGGGGCTTTGGCAAATAAATTTGTTATATAGGTAAATGCGTGTAAATAGTTGCGTAGTCTTTGGTTTCTCCTTTTGGCGTGTTAATTGTTTCTTCTATTCCCTTGCTCAATTTGTAAAAGTAGCACCTGTCACAATCCAAATCAAGTGTTAGCTATTTGATGGTGCAATTGGTAATTCCCCTGAAATTGGGGGGCCCTTCAACTAACCCATCTGTTTAACCTTAACATGATCCTGAATTCTTAATTTTCGAGCAAAACAGTCAACCTTCATGCAAGGCTTGAGGCTTGAAGTATGTGAAATCAAATTATACATCAAATTAGCATGATCTCAAGTGAGTGATTTACTTATTCGGAATTGAATCTCATTCCTTATTAGGGATAGTTAAAAGAACTTGCAAATATGCGTCTACTCAATGTTTCTCAGAGATTTAATCCCAACCTCTCACTTTTCATGATTATACCAATAATAAAATGATGCAGCCAGTTTGTGATCTTAAATGTTCACAAGTCAGACATAAATAAGCAAAATAGCTGAGCTGATCCACAATTGTTATGACCCGCTGCACCATTTTTATCGAACACTTGAGACAACATAATGAAGGTGAAGCAAATTGCTAAAATGAAACTGAAAAATAGTGCTTTCTTGAGAAGGAAAATGCAGAGTAACAACAGTAGCAACTTCGAGTTGGATAACAAGCAGCAGTCAGTCATGCATCAACCCCCCTTCTATTTGCCTCTTTCCAACTATCATTTACCTAGATAAATAGCGCCGTCCAAGGGCAGCATTCCGTGGAGATGGATCTTAGGCTAAGGAACACCTGGCCAGAACACACTCTGTATAAATTGCATTATCCCTTGGTCTTGGGCCTTGAAGGATTAACTCCATTGCTGACACTATCATTCATTACCCCAGAATCAGAAAACTGGGACGAATCATTAGATACAGGATAGCCAGGCATGATTCCGGAAGTAGCAAGTGGACGGCTCGTTGAGGACGTTACTTCTGCTTGGTAATCATCTCCAACTCTCGTTAATTGGGTAAGAAACAATACTTCTGCTTCCTGTACATTTTATATTAGCCAATGAAGGCAACGAATTCAGCAAATAGTTACTGATCTATTGTATTTTGATTACATTGTTAGTATCTTTTTTCACTTAAATTTAGAAGAATTTTTGAATAATTTTGAGTTAAAAATAAATTAATAAGTACGTTAATGAAGAAAAGAGGGAAAAAGGCTGAAAAGAAGTTTTCTCCCAGGTCCAGATCTGTATCACGTTCAGCCCAGCACCAACACTTAAAACGACGCCGTTTTAGGAGCTGGAAACCATAAGCCAGCAATGATCAAACGGCGCCGTTTTGATGAATGAAAAAAACAGAAAGAGGCGTCTACGTCTCTGAAGAAGAAACGAGGACTGAAAGGGAGAGGAGAAGCCTCAAGAGGAAGAGGCGGGCGAAAATTTGGGGCGGCCGCCTACAAGAGGGGAGATCTGGAGGAAAAAGGAGGAGACAGAGAGAGACAGGAGCTAGAAAGAGAAAGCAGAAATCAGATCTGCATACCCTGGAGCGCGAGCAGAAGGAGAGAACGGGGAGCTTGGCGGATATTTAGAAACGAACTGGTGGAGCGAGTGGTAGCGAAGCAGAAGCTGAGAGTGACCCAAAGCGATCTGGTGGAAGGCAGACTGGAGCAAACCGATTGACGATGGGGAAGCTGAAGCTGAAGTAGAAGCAATCGCAGAGAGCTTAGAGGGAGAAACTGGGAAAAATATTCAAGTAAATTAAAATATTTAGTTTTTAATTTGCATAGTTTTGTGATAAAAGTTTCAGGAATTTTTATGGCATTTGAGGGCTAGTATTTGGAATTGTTGGGAATTTATTTCTTGAATATTACATGATTATTTTTCTCTCAAATATAATTATTGTTTCTGAAGTTACGTTTTGGGATTAATTTTTAGCTTTTTAGCAATTTAAACTTAATGCGGTTGTGAGAATTGATCAACAGCTTAATTTGTGGAGTGAAATTGTATTAATTAAACATATATTGTTAATTATTAATTGAGACTTTAATGAAAGTAATATAGTTAAGTTAACGTGAAAAAATCGAATTATTACAGCTTTAATTGAATCAAATTAATAATTATTATAAAAGGTTAGTAATGGTTAATTAATAGACTTTAGGAATTCTGTGAGGGAAATCGAAATTTCATTATGATAATTCGACAATCGCATACTAAATTAAATGATTGCGAAACTAAAACTCGAATGTATACAAGATTTAGGTGAAATTAATTATTCTGGTACGTTTCCATTAATAGTTTGTTTTTAATTTTTTTACTTTGATTAAGTTGTTTTAATTTTTTATAAAAATTTAATTTTGATTTTTAGATAATAATAGAATTTTTTACAATTTTGGTACTTAATATGCAATTCATGTGGAATGATATTTTACTTATCATTTCATTACTTAAATGATTTCGTACACTTGCGAATCAGTTATAATGAACACCTACAACAAATTCCTCATTTTCCAAAACGCTAAAGAGGGAAAGAAATTATGCATTCATAAAGAGGAAAGAATATAATGTTAAGGAGAAAAAAATGCAAGCTTTGATCCAAACAAAAAGGAATTTAAATGATAGAACAAAATATACAATAGATTGTGGGCCAGTGTGTTTCAAAATATCCAATTCAAAAATTTTCACCCAATGGTATCATCTGATATGAAACCATTTACCTACTGCATGAAAAGATAATGTGGTGAATTTATATGGTGCCTATGGTTTTCATCTTTTGCTTCATGTTACTTCTGATGTTCTCGTTGTCTTTTCAGCCTGTTTAGATATAAATCTGATTGATTTCAACCTGTCATTGACAGGTCAGGTTCCTTTAACATTTAGGACTCCTCATGTCAGTCCTCCTCGACCAAGTTACTTAACCGGAAGGAGGAGAGTTTGTTCTTTATAGTTCAGGTCTCACCTGATGAATTCTCCAGATTCAGGATTAGCTGATCCACTTTTAGGCTCAGGGGGCTCTGTGGCTTCAGGATGCAGTTTGCTTCCACAATCAACTATTTACAATTGGAGTTGTGGCCACTTTTCTAAGCCACTTCTCACTGCAGCAGATGACAGTGAAGAAATAATAGCCAGAAGAGAAAAAAAGAAAAAATTGGCCCTGGAGCACATTACAAGATGCCAGCACTCTTGTAAGGCTTTTCTGTTTTTTTCCCTCTATTTACCATCGACATTGTTTTTTCTCATTATTGCTAAAGTTCCTTTTTTTTTTTGAACTTTTATCCAGCTGTTAACAGGCTTAATGATAATAATCAAATTGCTAGCTGGGATACAAAATTTGAAACTGGTACCAAAACAGCTTTGCTTCAACCCTTTTCATCTGTTGTAGTTGCTGCTGATGAAAACGAGCAAATTAGGTATGCAGTTTTCCATGAACAATATCCAAAGGAAGCTATATGCTAACTTGCTAGTGTCACTGCTAAAATTATACTGATATATCAATAGTTTTTATTATTTCAGAAAAAATATCTTTAGTTTCTGACAATAATTTGAATGGACAATGATTTATACCAATCATTTAATACAGTGAATTTCATGATGATTTCTCATGCTTAGGACATGGAGAACAGGACACCTATTTATTTTTGAAGCTTGTTAGGATGTTGTCAGCAAAGTGTGGTTCCTTAATTTGATCATGTCCTATTGTTTGTTTGAGAGTGCATTGCAACTGTTAAAAATTTTTGTTTAAACCCATGCAAAATGAGATTGTCTTTATAATAACTCAACTTTTTGGTTGGTAGTTGGATATTATTTCTATTTTAATGTTTCTATATTCGCGTTCCTTAGTTTTTGCCATCCTAGCAAAACAGGGCGTTACAGCAGTATAGCTTAAAATCTTTTTTTCATAAAATTTCCTTGCAGTATTTCTCTTCTTTTTGCTCAATTAATCAGGTTACGGTTTTTTTTTTTTAAAAAAGAGTATTTCTCTTGTCTTTGCATAGTATCTCTCTGTTGATTTATGTTTGAAGATAAATTTTTGTGTTTTAGAATTACAATTACTATCGTTGAAGAATGTATTTGAAGCACTAGTACCTAAACCACCTGGGTTGTAATTCTAGAAAATAAGCAGTTGTCTGGTTGGATAAAAGCAGTTTTTTGTAAAAAGAAAAAAGCACTGTACTTACCATATTTTAATAGAAAGAATTACTGGGTAAACAGGTAATAACATGTTAAGAAATAGGCCTTAAGTCATGACAGAAGAAGTAACGGTTGAGTTTCTTACTTTTCTCTTATTAAAATATGCATAACCATCTACTTATTTCTTCCAAAGGCCTCTTACTTATTAATACATCTAAATTTACTAATGGCTTCCTGTTAATAGTAAATGTGCGAAAGAGATAAATTAGGATTGGGTGCTGATAAGTAGATCTTTGGTAATTCTAAACACTCTCCAAGACTAATGGAAATTTGTTATTATGAGCATTTTTATTTTTCGTTTACACACCTAACAAGCTTGATAATTGAGGCAGTATGTTGATTCA